TTTTCTGCGTTTCCCATTACCTTTCCGAGCATCTTGGGTGTTTTAGCATCGATTTCAGCAAGAATGTTTGCCTTGAGCTCATCAATAGTCTGAGGCAGGTTGGCGTAAACCTTGCTTTTCAAATAACCCCACAAAAAGAAGTCCAGAAGGGTGAAATCAGGGATCTCTCAGATGTTGCCTTTTTGCCGCGATATTTTTTCCGATATGCACGTTGAGTTAACACAATGGAACGACTGTTTTCGATGTAAAATGTCACTATTTCAGCGCGTTGTTTCGGTGTGAAGCGATGCATGTCAAAAATTGTACTGAATCGGGCGTTTCCACAACATATCTGATGCAATCGCTTGGTTGGTAAATGTGAAAGTCAATCAGCGTTTACATACCGACATAAAAGATGGAGCACCCTGTACTTTATTTTTTTAACAATTAAAAAATATTGAATATTATTAACTTATACCAGATATCGATTGCTTTTGGCTTTTAAACACAAAACCTGTATAGGTGAAACAAATAAATTGAATTGAATTTGAAATTGTTTGTTTTATTTACTGAATTATTTCAGTTTTCAAATAAACAGTCTATCGCGAAAAAGTCCTTTTGCAGTGATTCACAAGTTCGCCACCTTTGATCTTGATTACAAATAGTTTCCTTCACAAAGGTCACAAGTAAATACTATCTTTTACACCGGGTCCTGGTCAGACCAACACCGGCAACGCCCTATGTTTGCTAAATTTGGTGCCAACAAATCACCAAATGAATTCCGGAATTGGAAAAAAGACGCCAAGAAATCTTTTTGAATATCTTTTTCTGCGGCAATTGATGGTTTTGCTATTTTTGACAAACTTTTCCCAATTACTTTTCGTTATATTTCTTCCGATGCCACGTTATTATCTCCAAATGTTTCAACCGAAACGATAGAAGTTTTTTGATTAACATGAAGTTTATCGTTACGATTCAACCATGGGTTTAAAAGTATGTAGAGTTCTTTTAAGACCAATAGCCATTGGGATATTATTTGCAGTTAGAGGCATTGCCATTGCCTAAACAAAAAATCCCATCTTTTCTCCTTCTTTTTTTTTTAATTCTCGTTTCGATAGCTCAAATATTTTTGGGGTTTGTCGCTTTCCTAGCGATCGCTCTTCCTTTATGTTCAATGCCTTCTCACACGTCACCGAAATACCCGGAAGAACGAAGAAACGCTCCTAAATGTATAATGTTCTTACTGTGCATCCAAACGCACATGCCACAATTTCCGTATTTAGATGACTAATTTTCCTTATACAAATACAAAACCGATGTCGCTTTGCCTAATTTCCCTTGAATTCAATTTATGGAATCACCTGTCTTGAGGTAAAAAATTACTATATGTTTTCTAGGTGGGTATGCATGTAAAATTCGTAAGGGAAAATTTTAAGGGGTTGAGATGACGTCGACAATTTATCTGCTCAGTTCAAGTCTGGCGATTGTCGTGGCGAGCGCAACTTGTTTTTCTGTACCGTTTTTACGCCACACTGGTTTCGCCCTTTTATGCCAAAATGCAGAATTTGCTCTCCGCTGCAGGCTCCTGGACAAACTTTTTGGTGAAAGCTAGAGCTGCTCTTTGTTGACTGCCGATATGAGGGGTATCTTTCGTGCAGTACTGGCATGTAGGTGTTTTTTTTTTTAAATTTTGCTAATGGTATCATCATGTAGCTCTTTATTAAACTTCTACTTAATATCCTGTTCAATTTGCGCAGCTGTTAATACGGGTTTAAGCCTCACCGTCTTCAAAACATCCCGTTTTTCACGATCGGTAAATTTTGGCAGCCTTCCAGAGCGTGGTTTTTACTCGAAAGAGCCGGTTGATGTAAAATTTTCGAGCACTCTTTGTACGGAGGAGTGGGCTTTACATACAATCTTGCCAATGAATTTCCTCAAATTGGGGTCAATTTCTTTTTGTTGTTGTTGTAGTAACCGCAAAAATATTCCCTCTTTGGCCGGATAAAAATCTGGGACGTTTCGGTATAAAGACCCGACTGTCGGGAGCGTGCCTTGCCGCTGGTAAAGTCTTGCGCCCCTAAACCGCAGGGTTTTCAATTTATTTTTCCTCGCTGCCCATTGCGAACTTTTTTATAGAATGATGAAATTCACTAAAACAACGATCATCAAAAAGTTGCTAGTGCTTTTATCACAGTTAAATCTCATCTAACGGTACCAAAAGCTTCTCCACTAAAAGTTTTTGGTTTGTATGCATACTTTTTCTTGTGCTAAATCATATGAATTTTTACTTTTTTATTTTTATTAGTATAAATTATACATTTAAGACTAAGAAAACGTATCCACCTCATTTCAGCCAAATGGTAGACAATCGCGGAAAAAATAAGTAGTTTTTGTTAAGTTAATATGGAATGGTCGTATTTGTGCAACAAACATAGAAATTAAAGATATTCCGACGGACTTTTAACGTTTGAAACATTTATCTTTAATTGACACCAACAGTTCTTGCGAAAAAATTAAAATATGTTTTTCTGGGCACTATACAGTAGGCCTATATGTAGTAGTTAGTTAGACTGCTACTAGTTTGAATTTGAACCTTGTTAGTGTTCATCATCCCATAAGCAATTGATATTTTTAAGATTGCGATGTGCTTCGAAGGGTCAATTCCTGGCTGGGGATCAGTTCCATATCAGTTTATTATCACGTAGCAAACTGCTAAAAGTTGATACTTAAAGCTGATGGAGTAGTAGTGGAAGTGATTTGATTTTAAAAGTACCAGTACATATTCAATTAAAATATTTTTATTCCAGCTCAGCTTTTTACTGCAGAGCCATGGCATTTATTTATGCATTGGAAAATAGCCAATGAGCCAATAACAATACATGATTTTTGATATTCAAATACATATAGAAAGTTTAGTAGCGTCAAGTTTCAACACGCTGAACATGCAAATGGACTTGTTTTTTAAAATTGATATGCGAAACACATGTTGACCATTGTCGTCACCAATATTTAAAGTGAAGTGTCAACAAAGCTCCAACCAACTCCCCGAATCAATGGGCAAAGCCCAACTGGAAATACATACATATTTTTATATACATATATGTATGTATGTATATTGAGTGTCAATCAGTATGAAAATAAACATTAAATATATAAATATACATACTCATATTTTGTTATAGGCGGGAATTTAAAGAAGCAAATAAATAAAATGATCAAATTTATGTATTCAACAAATGTCAATTGGTGCTTAGTTTTATTTATGGATGAGTGATAGTACATACCTACATATATATTTGCTTTTCCAATGCGAAATACGGTTGGCGAAGCAGCATTTCAATAATAATCTTATAAAAAAAATACTACAACTGAAAGTTTATTATTGCAAGTCTCTCATTTCTTTGTGTTGAAGATAATGCTTTGAACAGAAATAAAATCTATACATTAATATATGTGTAGATACATACCAATGGGTAAGTTTGTGTGCATATTAAATTCACAATTTGTTGTTATATTCGATATTTATACAATAGGGACTCATGTGCACACATTAATATCTATTCAATATATATATTAACGCAAAATTTCTCATGTTAGAACTCAGTTTTTAGTGGTTGCGATTGTTTAGATTAAGCTAGACGCTTTTTGATTTCAATTACCTTAAAGCAAACAGTAATGTCTATACCTAAATTTCATAGTTCAGTTTATTGTAAAAAGATATAAACCATCATTCCATTTATAGGCCTATTCTGTCGAGGTAACAAAATTTTCTAGGTATTAAAATTTACCATTGAGTAAATTTTGTTACGATTTCATATTCTGAGTTCACTGTCACCCTGTAAGTTTTGTTACCAGCGAAATGGAAGGTAATAAAGAATCTACTGTTTGATTTTGTGTTTTCGGTTTGAGAAAAAATAAAAACCAAGATGGGTAGGCATACTTTAGACCTGGAATTCATTGAAGATGAAGGACAAAGTGTGAATAGGCGTATGCTAAGAAGTTGCAAGAAAAAAATTACCCTTTGTAAGACAGCGTTTCCACTCAGCTTTTTTTGTTGTCCAGGCATATTTTCTATAATTAGGTTCAAATATTTATGATTTAATAAACAAATTAATAAAACTTTTTAATTTTTTTGCGCACCATCTTCCATTTCGATGTGAATATTTTTCTTTTTCACTGGCAAATTTAATTTGAAAAGGATTAAAATAGCAGTGCTGCCAAATTTTTTTCAAACAATGTAAACAGTTTGCCAGAATACCAAATTCAGTTTCGGGTATTAAAAAAAGAAACAAAATTTACTTTATCGGGTACGGTGAGGCCTGTTGGAATGCTAATATGAGCGTTGATCAAAGCTGTGTTAAAGCAGCATAGTCATAATAAAAATGTTAACAGCGGCAAGCCAAGGAGTTTGCCCCAGAGATGCCCAACAGACGTAATGGTATCATTTCGCTTCATTAACTCGACACACAGAAATCATGTCGTTCCATGATATCGATATGAAATGAAATTGTTAATGTTGAAACCGCACTATTTTTTAACGATTTAACATTAACGACGACTTTTCGTTTCGGGTTCAAACGAAAAAAACTTATTTTAATAACTGCAACCTTATAATAAATTTATTAAATTCGTCCACTTTCGGTGATTTTTGGTATCAACATTTCCTCTGTAATGCTTGAGCAGAATACTAAATTTTATGTTCTTAGATGTTTAATTGTGAGAATTATGATATGAAATTACAGAATCCGCAAAATGCAGTTCAAACATCTTCAAAAGTAAAGGTCTAGTTTGAGTTGAATCTACCAGACCGTCAGACGGACATGGTTAGACTCACTAGTCATTCGGATCAAATCGATATAGGGTTTAATCGGATTCTCTTCTGCTTCTGGTGTTGTGAGGGTTTATGGGGATCATATATGTACGTATACGTGCGTGTATGTGAATCTATTGTTAAAAATCTCAAGATTATTATTGCTGAAGACGATTACAAAATTTATATATGTATGTTTATATGTACGTACCTATATAAAAATATTTATGAAGGTCTGCTTTTTCCAAATATCGCTCCCATGTGTTTTTGTTAATGCCAATTATTGTGAAAAAGTATTTAAGAAGATCAACGGGCACTTATGTGTGTATGCATGAGCAATTAACTAATTGTTCATATACCTGTCTATATATGTATTATATAAATTTTATGTACAATACCTGATAAACAATTAAAACACGAATATTTTCATTGCTTGAAGATTTCTTTAATTTTACTGCAGCACCAAGGTTTTCGGCGACTTTTAATTCTCTTTTCACCACTATTCAAAGTTTTTGTTTTTGTTTCTGTTTTATGTTGTTTTTGTTGATGGTTCCAAAACGAGTGCATACGAAAAGTGAAAACACTTTGGCTAAGAAATAGTAAGTTGACAAATTTGCACCGACACTTTTCGTTTTTTGTATTTGCCCTTTATTTCCAACGCATTTTAATTTTTAGTTTGCGTTTTCCCTTTTGCTGCAACGACAATTTAAACAATAAAAATAACACCTAAAAATGCCGAACGGATGACTGCTACAAAAACACTTTCACAAAACTACTTTTGTATATATGTATGTATGTATACGAGTATATGCATCGGTGTATATTTGTATTTGCGACTAACTTCGGGTCTGAGAAACACACGTAACGGAATAAAAGAAAAACACGTTCAGTAGATTAACACGGGTACCTATAGAGCTTATATTAGTTGTTTTTCTGTTGTTTTTTATTGCACACTATTTATGAACAAATCAACGCAAGGCAAAAGGCAATAACTATGATATTAAAATTTGTATTTTTGAAAGCGAAAATTTATAATTGAAAACTTTCAATTAAAAGATATTTTTGAAGGGATTCTTTTTTATTTTCATAGCGAAATTAAGTCTTTTGCATTTTATATGAGAATATGTACATACATGTGTAGTAATACATTCATATGTATGTATGTATTTTGTACGTGCAACTTCATCTAAGCAGTTGCAAACTTAAAGCTTTGGATTTGTTATTTTCGAATTTAATTTTGGCAAAGCAAAAATTGTCATTTGGGCAAATAATAAAACATATGTATGTAACTCGCAGCATAATAAGCCTTCGTCAACATACATACATATTTATGTATATTTGTATTTCAATACATTTTTTAAAATGCCCAGATGTACATACATGGTATGTATGCATGTATGTTTGTGTTTTTTAAATTAAGATACATATGTATTTTAACAAATGAATGAATTTGTTGTAGAACTAAAAAGTTGTTGGCGTGTACATAAAGTTAAGTTTTCTGTCTTTATGATTTTCACAGCCATAAGAATGGGATAAAGAATAGAGAAAACCAATGCTAAAAGCAACAGAAAAATATCGAAATCGCAATTTAAACGCTCAACTTAAACACAGCCAAATTGATGGATATAAGTATATATAGATATGTATAACATATGCATGTATATGTATGTAAGTATGTATGTGTCAATATGTAGTCGCCTAAATGCCTTCTTGTATTCACGTTGTTATCAAGGTGTGCATATGTATATGAATGTATGTGTGACTGTGTCGTCATGTATGTTTGTATTTGTGTACAAATGTATGTTATGTGCTTATGTAGCAAACAACTGACGACCTGCTCCACAAGTCTTCGCTTGGAAATAAAACTCGTATATGCACATATACATACATATAAATAATATCACTGCACACGTTCACATTTACTTAAGTATGTATGTATGTATGTACATTAACACTTTAGCTTTGCCAGTTGACACGCACCTCACTTTGCACTTGTTGCAATTACAATCGCTTACAATCGTTTATTGTTGCATTGGAAAAATAGACAGCAAGCTAAATCAACTTGTTTCCTTCCACTGTTGCTTGGATTTACACCAAAGAAAAGCAATAGACATTTAGTGCAACCGACGGCACAAAAGAAAATAAAAAGAAAATTCACGAAAAACGTCTTAACGCGTACTATGCGGTATACACAACCAGAGCGATCGGCACTTCCAAGATGACTAAATAAAACTTCGCTTCCAAATGGGCGCATAACCTATACGAAGTGAGTTACCACAGTGTAGATCTAGTGGAGTAGCAGAGCTTGGCCTCACACACATGAGAGCGATTCGATGGCAATTCAGCCACTCAAACTGGAAATGGATCGATGAGTATCTAACTGATCAGAGTTAAGAGCATGCATTGGAAAACCTGTCGTTTCTCTTTCGAATTTTTCTTTTCATATTTATTCCCAATAATGCATGTGGAAGTGAGCAAAGAGTGAGAGTTACACTAAGGAGCGACGGGCTTTCTGATTACAAATACAAGCTAGAGACTCAGGTGTCTTGGAGAAAATGTCGTTTACTTCGCTCGATTGGTTTACAGGTGTTCCTGTAGTTTCCAGTCTCGCTCATTTGCCTTCTTTCCGAGCCAGCAATATTAAACGCTCATTTGGTAATATGAGTAACCGCACTGGGAGACATGTGCCAATCAAAAAGAAGTTTGGGCACTTATTTCAATATCTCTCTCGTATAACTGCGTCACTTTATCTCTATATTCTATTAAGTAGTTGGACAAATGCGAACATTATATAAATTCAAATAAATGTACATACATACATTCATACGAACAATAATACACTTTTGTATACATTGATAAAAATAAAAAAATTAAATAAAAGTTAAATCCGGTCATGTAAGAGTTAGAAGTTATTACAGAGATACATACGTACATATATACATTCATAAAATGTAGTTGTGTATGTATATATACACATATGTAGACATATGTAGCTATGTGTATTATTCTACACATTGCTAGCAGCACTTTTTTGCTGACTATATGCATCAAGGTCACATTTCCAATACAAAGCTGAAGGGAGAGCACATATGTATAAGGATGACACTTTTTAAAAGTACAAGATTCATTCAAACCAGGGTTTAAACCCTGGACTTTCGATTGGTAGTACGCGATGCTAACCACTCGCCTATCGCGGCCGCCAATGATGATGATGAAAACATTTAGTTCGTCTGTTGTAAAACTTATATGTGAACTGGACTTAAAGCTTTAACATTCGGCATTCAGGCTATGAAGAAATATTTTAATATCTGCTTGAAGGCGAGCTATACCCAATATGGTAATACGCAGGGTTTGTGGCCAATCATATAAAATCTCTACTCCAATGAAATGTTAGAATAGTGCTCGGATGAAATCCCAGCTGTTAATGACGTTAAACGTTATAAAGATCACGATCCGAGGACATGCACACAGAATATCTAAACTCTTGATTAGGAATGCATCGCTGTCCAGCTGATTTATGCCCCCGAGACAACTATAACTCATATCACCGCTTTCCAAGAAATGCCTTGAGACTACGAGGTAAGAATGTGGGTATTTTTAGCATTTGTATAGTGCAAGTTTGATGAGGAATTTCTGAATGGGCTAAAGCTAATCGACTTCGTCTTGATTCAAAATATGGCTACCTGAATTGCTTGATTCAAGATCAGATAAAAATTCCTCAAGATTAAAGACAGATGCTAATACACTTAGTACAGTTTTCTACATTAGCCCCAAGAAACACAGAACAATATCCGATGAGCCTGCATGAGAAGTTTTCGAAGTAAAGGTTTCGCTGCACCCAATTAAGAAACTCTAGGAGGAAAATATCACACTTGGTGTCTTCGAGCCCCGAACTGCAAGAAGAAGAACTGACTTACTTACAATAAAAAGCCATGTTTGAACCCCGGAACCGGTTTTCTCAATTTTTACTGCAGCTGCCCTGCCGCTAACCTATCTTCTAGTGTAATCTATTCCGTATGCAATAATGTTCCAATCCTTGCATATATATATGTAAGAGTAAATAAGCATATATATGTGCATTTTTGTTGGTAGCCGATGTAAGTGCAAAATATCGGAGACACACTCAATTCAGCGAATATAAGTATAATACTGGTCAAAACAACGGCACTATTGTTCTTGCTCGGAGAACCATTTTCCCCATTTCTATTTTAGTAATGAACTGACATTTTACTTTATCATCAACTCAAAGAAGGTTAAAAGGGACACGAAATAAATATTTTATAAAAAATACAATTATTGCATTTGGGCATTTACAGTCTTGCGCAAGGCAGGAGTAATCATTATTAATTACCTGCCTTTGAGTCACTAACTGCACTCTAGCCAATGCACTGGCACCAATATCAAGTGAGAGTTTATGAGCGGCAGGTAAACAGCATTAAACCCTAAAATACCACACAAAAAGAAAACTCTCATCTGAATCATGGCTTGTACGTATGTATGTATATATGTATATGTAACTCGACCTTTTTGAGCATGTCATTAAGGATTTCGTTGTAAAAACATTTTGAAGAATTTACTTTTGGGCCTTCATTATTTACGCACAAAAATCAGCCAAGGAAAATGTGAAATTTAGGATTTATCAAATTGTCCTTACAGACGAGCGGTCAATTAGTATCCGGGGTTGTCGTTCTGAGAACATGAGCAGATTAAATTTGGGCGATTATTCAAAAAATGCTGAACCATATTTGAAAAATGTGGTAATGCATAGCATTTTGTGGATTACCCATAAAACAGAATGAGCAAATCGAAAATATATTTAATTGCGACCGCTTTTGGCTAGGGAGTATATTTCTGGCAAGAAATAAAAGCTCCTCACGAAAAGTCATCGATCGTTCGAAGTGACTTAGAATAAGCTATAAGTCCCCCACACTCCAAACATACACCATCAATTGGAAGAGGAGCTCAACCGAAAATTGCATCAGCGGTTACAAGGAGAGAGTTAATAATAATAATTTTTATCATTTGCAGCAATATAATTGTATTATTGTATGATTGGTGGAGTTTGGTTAAATTGCCAGTTAATTCGAAGGCCTGTTTTCACTTCAAATTAATTTTAAACAAATCGTCTTCTCAACCGTCTTCACAATCGTCTTGTTTGTAACTCGGTCTATCTGATAAAGGTTTGTCGAAGTTGTAGTATTAAGAGTAAACTGAAATTCGAATAAAACTTTAAGATGCTGTCAATATGATAAATTTCGAAAATCAGTTTCTAGAACAGTCACACGTAGCATGATTTTTAACTTACGGGAAATCAGTTTATTTCATAATAATTTGCCAAACATTGCACGGGTGCTTTGACTGCA